GAGTGCAATTCTCAGCCACGTTGAGTGAAATAAGACAATCCTTAGCTATGTAAAGTAAAATATGCCTATTTCCAGCCATGATCAGTGATATATGCCAATCCTTAGCCAATTTGAGTGAAATACTACAATTCACGGCCATATTAAGTGAAATAAATAATTCTCAGCCATGCTAAGTGAAAAAAATCTGCCATGTTAAGTGAAATAAAACAATTCCCAGTCAAGTTAAGTGACAAATAAATTCCCAGCCATGTTAAGTGAAATATGACAGATTCCAGTCATGGTGACTTGTTCTTTCTGTGAAGAAACTTTTTCCTTTAGACAGGCCTTGTGTCAACACTCAGGAAGGTGGATCAAACACAAGGTTTGTTCTGCCTGTGTCTATGTGCTGAACTAATGTCAACAAATCATTCACACTATTTTGATAATGATATAGATGCATCTAACAAAGAGTTATCTTGCAGGTTATGCTTGAAATCGTATAAGCCATTAAAAAACTTCAATAAGTCTTAGTTTAAATGCCAGGTGAGCATGTAAACACAAAACATATTTTGCAAACATATTTATTAACATTCTTAAGTAAAATCCTATGGTTACAATTGTAAATGTCGTCTTATGTTTATCTTCATTATAAAAGTCCTACGAGTCTTTGACATATATACAGTACAGGTAAACCTCTACTTATGATGGGGTTATGTTTCTGAAAACCCCATTTCACATCAAAATATCATAAATCAGGTTCATTAAAACATGGTGATCAATGGGATACGTTCCTTGTCAGTTGGACACCCATATGTATCACCAAAAGAAGAAAAATAAAAAATAAAATCCTAGAATACTATTAGCACTACAAAACAATTAAACAACACTCACCACATCATTAAGAACAAGGTAGAATGGAGACATCAACCTGAGTCCTACACAAACTTTTGGAAGTCTGAAGAGTGGGGACTGGAGGTGTAGCCTTGTCATGGCCTTACAGACAGTGAGCAATGTGTTGCCAGACATTTTCAAAGTTACACTACTCACTTCACAGTCACAAAACCACGATAATTATGATGGGGACTCAATTCCATTATAAAAAATTTTTTACTGACCTGACTTGATCAATGTCAGATAGAGGTGGGGTGGGGAATTAGTGATTTCATGCTACCGTATATCTCTGCCTATAAGACGGAATTTGAACCTTGAAAAAAATTAGCCCAAAATTAGGGGGTCGTCTGAAGCACCGAGTATAAAATTCTTACCTCTTAAATATTGTGGTTTCGCGTGTCAAGAGTAGTGATGGAAAACATCGTAAACCACTCACAAGGTCCTACCACTAATTACTTTATACTGAAACTTACGTTTGGGAAGCTGGATTAAAAATAAGATTACTGGTATATTAAAATAATAAAAATGTATTATAAACCTGTCTAACATACCGTAAAATAACAACTTACCCCGGTAATAAACACAGCTGCTATCATCACCCCAGTGACGAGACAAGAAAGGGAAAGTGACCGTGACTGTGACCGCTGTGGCTATTTTTAGCCGTCCTTGTGTTCGGAGGTGGTCAGTAATGCATATTGGTATATTCACTGATTATAATACTTATCTCCTATAAATAATTCATTTAAAATTTATTTTTTTACAAAGAATATTCAGTAAATGACTGCGTTAATTCTTGAAACTACCGACAGTGGTAAATTTAGGATGAGAATAATGAACACGAATTCAGGTCATCGGATTCGGAGTTTGGTCCTTAATGATCACCATAAATGTCAGGTCAACTTCACCTACCAGATATAATGGTAGCCTCCCTTTTTCACGAAACAAGTTTATAAATTAAAGAAAATACCGTATATACTCGTCTATAACCCCCCTTCGTATATAGGTCGACCCCGATTTTTTGACCAAGAAATCGTTAATTTATGATATTCCTCGTTTATAGGTCGACCCAAGTTTTTGATGGTAAAGGAACAACAAAACCTTCAGAAAAACACTACATCCTATAAACTTGTTTACCATTTATTATTACGACACTTTACACTGAAACGCGGGTAGTTTCAACAAAAATATTGTATATTTCCATTCAAGTATTTATTCAAGTCAATTAGGAGGGAATATTATTGTAATACAATAGTTTTTTAACTGAAAACCATTCGAAAAGCGATTACGGTAACATATCTTGAACGAAAGAAAGCAAAAGTCATTGTTTTCGTCACAATTTTATCCCACTTTCCACTGTAATACGTACGTCATTTCAGCAAAAAATATTACATTTCCGTGAATGTATTATATCAACCAAAGTATAAATAGAATATCACTAATATAACAGTATTTTAACTGAAAACTATTAAAAAAACGAGTAACATATCTTGAACATCGGAAGGTTTGGTAAAGTCTTTTGTTTTCATCATGTAGTTTATCCTAATTTACATTGAAATACATTACGTTTCGGCAAAACTACTATTTATTTCTGATAATATGGAAATGTAATATTTTTGCTGAAATGACATACGTATTATAGTGGAAAGTGGGATAAAATCGTGACAAAAACAATGTCTTTCGCTTTCTTTCGTTGAAAAGATGTTACCGTAATCGCTTTTCGAATGGTTTTCAGTTAAAAACTGTTGTATTACAATAATATTCTATCCTAATTCACTTGTGATGTAACGGTTTTTAACTGAAAACGATTCGAAAAACACGTGTACCATCTAGCTGATACGGCAGAGCCCTGGTCGCGGAGGCAGTGTGTTTGCATCGGCCCTTCTTAAGCAGCTTTTAATTTTAGCGTACGTTGTAATTGTGTTTACCGGTATATTCTTATACGGTTATTTGCGTGACTCTCCCGCCAAAAAAGACCAAACAGCTGGTACTCTCTCCCTCAGCCCTACCAAAAATAGCCCAACGACATCTTTCTTGTTTATTCTCTTCCAATTTCTCACTTTAACTGGTATTTTTTACTTCATATTGCCTACATCAGATAAACTACAGTAATTGAGGTTAGACACTGTTATAAATTTGATAACCGGGTCCTGGCAGGTGCCGTTAGAACCACCTGACCCTACCAACAGTGTTGCAAGTCAGACAACATTTTTTTAATCATCCATGTGCACGAGAAAGGATGGATGGATGAAGGAGGCATACAAATATGGCTTAAAAAAGTCTGGAACTTTAGACCAGGGGGACTGCGCAAAGAAAAAAGTCTTTTTGTGTGGGATATGTTTCGGTCACATCTTGTTGACAGCGTTACTGCTGGGATTAGGAAGGAAAACACTGTTACAGCTGTGATTCCTGGTGGATTAACAAGTCTTGTCCAACCACTGGATGTTTCCATAAACAAACCATTTAAAGATGCGGTAAGAGTGAAGTGGAACAACTGGATGATAGAAGGCGATAAGACATACACAAAGGGAGGCAACATCCAAGCTCCATCACTAGCAACATTATGTGAATGGATTGTAGAGGCCTGGGATGCAATCAGACCAGAAATTGTGGTGAAATCTTTTAAGAAATGTGGGATTTCGAATGCTCTTGATGGAACAGAAGACGACTTGTTGTGGGATTATGAGGCTAATGAGAGCGTGAATGAGGATGAAGATATTGATGATCCTATGGCTGATGATGGTGTTGATCCATATGACGATGCTGTTCAAGGAGAGGACTGGGAGGAGCTGTTTGGTGCTGCAGATGATGACAAGGAAAATGATTTTGATGGATTTTAATGAAAATATTCAGAAATATGGTATCATAGTATTTATTCAAGTCAATTAGGATAGAATATCATTGTAATACAACAGTTTTTAACTGAAAACCATTCGAAAAGCGATTACGGTAAAATCTTTTGAACGACGAAAGAAAGTGAAAGTCATTGTTTTCGTCACAATTTTATCCCACTTTCCACTGTAATACGTATGTCATTTCAGCAAACATATTACATTTCCATATTTATTTCTGAGAATATATTAATTCAGGCACAGTTAAGGTAAAATATACTTGTGATGTAATATTTTAATGAAAATATTTATAAATAAGGTATCGTATTTTTCTTTTGTTTCAAATTTAATTAACAAAGATTGATGTTTCAAATTTAATTAACAAAAATTTATGTATCTATAAATAAACTTTTAAAAATGAATACTTTATGTTCTACATACTCCTGTGCATACCATACCATGCATTTGGCTACTTTGGGCTTGCTATGATGACGCAAGAGATCTGCCCTGGCAACTGTACCGACACTCACAGCGGGTGGTGCGTTGGTGCGTCGTTTCCATGGTTTACTGGTAAATATTTTTCAACCTAACAAAACTATTACCCGTATAGAGGTCGACCCCCAACTTTTTGCCAAAAAATTTGGTTTTAAGAACTCGTGCTATACACGGGTATATATGGTAAACTCTTCTCTAATTTGTGGTGGAGTGATTAGTGATCTTATATTACTGACCTTCTGATACAATGTCAGGTCACCCATTGTTGGAGTGGGGGATCAGATCGAAAGCACTTCACAGGTACAATGTAAACTTTCACGATGTCCTCTCACCATAAAAAAAACAAAACAAAACAAAACACCACTGTTATTGACCAATAAACCTTAAGCTCCATTTCTTACACACATGTAACCAAGAAGAAACAATGCCTGAAGTGTAGTTCATTAGATGGCCATAAGGCGGTGTTCAGGTAGATGATGCCTAAGCTGACAAATGAGGTGAGTGATGCATTCCATATGCTGACTTAGCAGAATGGTGCATATTGTTAACGAGAGTTTGTTTATATTGATAATGCGTTATAACGTAGATTGGAAGATTGTAAATAGAGGTTTACCTGTACTTTAGAATGTTCAACTTACAAACTTTCAGAGATACAAACATCATCAATGAGGGATGTTACCTGCCAGAACAGGTTTTTAATATGGATGAGACTGGATTATTTTGAAGAAAATTCCAGATAGAACAAACATTACCTAAGAGGAGAAAAGTGAGCCAGGTTTTAAGGCTGTATTAAAGGTATAGCTATACTAAATATTTACAATCTTTTAATTTTTTACAATATGTTTGATATCTACAGGATTAAAGTTGGACTTGCAAACAAGCCTCAGGAGCGTAACTCGTTTGTAAGTAGAGGAGCACCTGTATATTCAAAAGTTTCGTTTACATGTCCCTATCGTTTTTTCCATGTATACTTGGCCCTTGCCCCCTTCCATCCTGGCTTTTTCCTCTCACGCCTTCGTGGGTCACGAGTGAGAAGTCCAGCTGCAAAAAATAAGGATAAATTAAAAAGATAAACAATCATATCAGTTCCATATACAGCATCCTCTTTCATATACAGTATACTGTTTAGAAACTGTAATATCTTTCCCTGTCCAGAAGTGTGGCACCTATGTCACTAAGCTACCACATTTCGACCTGGTCGTGGATCATTGTCCTCTGGTGCCTAATCTCAACAGGAAGCTCTTCAGAGAGATCGAGAATCCGAGGCTGCAGCGTATGCATGAGAAGCTCTGTATCTACAGCGTCACAGTCCATTGGCAAAAGGGCAGACACCACTGCTGTGGTGTCTGCATTCAGTGCAGCATGCGAAGGCACCTGACTGGCGCCGTTACAAGACCAGACGCTAGTTAAGGTGAGTACTGCTGCCGCCTGGGATGCAGAATACACCGCCCTGCATGATGTCATCATGAGAAGATTCCCAGAGCACCTTCAGGCTTTGGAATATGCATTATGACCTTACTGGGGCATTCGCAGCATGCTTGCTGTGGACGATGACCTTATTGTGTATGGTTCACGACTCTTGATTCCTTGCAGCCTTCGGCGTGAGATGCTGCATGACAGGCACCAGGGGGTGGATAGAATGAAGAGACGTGCTTGGCAGACCACGACATAAAAAAATGCAGTTTCATCCTGTTCCCTGTGCCAATCACTTTTGCCTAGCCATCAGAATGAACCATTATGGCAAGATGACGATTCCACAAATTGTGCGTGTGAATCAGCGTCCGCAGATTACTTCCACGTGGCCGGCCGTATCTTCCTCATCTATGTTGACCGATTGTCTAGGTGGATGTACATATCTTCCTGCCCTAGAACAGTGTCTGCAGCCCATTTGGTATGTGCCCTGCATTCTGTATTT